ACAGCGCCACCCACGTCCCTGTAGCAGAGTTTTACATTCCCCTTTTAAACTTCACAGCGGATAGCTGGTTGCAGGCTTGTTTAAGCCTCTCAATACTAGGTTCCTGGTAAGTTCCCTTATACCCTTCTTAAAAGAATAAACACGCCACAACCTTGTGTAAGGTACCGTATTTTTTGCTCTATAAGACTCACTTTTTCGCTCCTAAAAAGTAAGGGGAAATGTGTGTGCGTCTTATGGAGCGAATGCAGGCTGCGCAGCTATCACAGGAGCCAGAACAACAAGAGGGATTGCTGCTTTCACTGAGCAGCGATCCTTCTTGCTGTTCTGGCTTCCGAGATTCAGATTTTTTTTCTTCTTGTTTTCCTCCTCCAAAAACTAGGTGCGTCCTGTGGTCTGCTGCGTCTTATAGAGCGAAAAATACGGTATATAAAATAAATTTACTCACATCATCAGTTCACAGTTGGATCCCTGAAGGCAGAATTAGTTACAAAGTATATACATGTGGATCTATCCCATACGGGGATAATCCCAGTGTTCTCTGTTGGCTGAAAACCAACAGAGCATTTCTAGCTAAAAAGCTACTCCAACGGCGGAGGAAGTCAAAGAGAGAGTATGGCAGCATGCCTTGCCCTTTTGTTACCTGGGCAGGTAAGGTTACACCCACCTCTAGTCACATGCAAAGGAAGGGTGTCCCAGCCAGGAGGAAACAGGAAGTTTTTGACTGGCTGGACCAAACATTCCCCTGCATGTCCACTCTAGGAAAACAAGGAATGTTGTACTTGACTGCTACTTATGCATCACATCCCACAAGAAATGTCACGGTGCATCTGCAGCAGCACAACCGGGCGCATTCATCTGCCCCAGCAGCAACAAAACAGGACTCTCCTATATTGGTCTTGACAGCCACAGCAGGCGCTGCAACCTTCCAACAGTTTGACTTCATCCCCAAAGGCACACTCCTCCATTGTCTCCCGAGACAGACGGGATGCCAACCAACAGGAAATGGGGAGATAAAATGACAGAAACGGAAGACCATCACAAAACGGAAGACTGCCGCCAAATGCTTGCTGGAAAAGGAAACACTTAGTCATTGAATAATAGAACAGTAGAACTGGAAAATTGAAAGTGACCCCAAAGATCATCTCGTCTAACTCCCTGCAATGCAGGAATCACAGCTAGCCATGTGCCTGAGGCTCAAGCAAGGAGGGTGTCCCATGTTCCTTTTTTGTATGATTGGCAGGTCAGCTGTGCCACTGAGGACCCACATCGTAGCTTGCACCGGGTACCCCTCTCACCCAGGCTGGGAAAGACTCAGGAGACTGAGATCGCTGGACTGACAGATTTGGGACGTTATTCTAGAATACTGTTTTGGTGCTCCTCTTTCTGGAAGCTCATCCCGGCATTTCATAGCAATCCCTCCCTGAAAGGATGCTCCCTGTCTATTTGCTCCGTCATTCAGAGGACATTTCTAAAAGGCGGAGGCTTCCTCTGACCTCCCAGGAGCAAAATGCTCAGAGAAATCTATTTCCCTGGGCAGCAGGAAACTCATCAGCTGCTGAATATGATAGAGCATTTTCTCTCCTCCTCCTCCTTTAAAGACGCAGCCACTTCCTGGCTCAGAGGCTGTTGTTTGTCAGCCAGGGTTAGATATATTCACACATCCCAAATGCTGAGCGTTCCAGCTTCAATGGAAGCCAAGGAGAGCTGGCCTGCCTCAGCACATCTGGGGAATCTGCTCCCCTTCCAGCGAATAAGCAAAAGGGAGAAAATGCTGCCGTGTGCTTTGACCTCATCAACAATCGTGGGGAAATGCTGGAAGAGGCAATACAGCTGAGCATCTTGGCAGGATGCGAGAGAGGGAAGAGAGATCAGTGTGACATTGAGAGGAGGGAGTGGGAGTGGGGGGCCCTCCAGGAACCTTTAAAGCCGAGTGTGGTTGGAAAAGGGGCACCAGAGAGAGAATCCCACCGAATAAGCTAAGCAGAGGAAGAGAGATTGACCTCCTTTCAGCACACATCCCTAAGGGGTATAGCTAAGGGACAGAGTGAGAGAGTACCGTCTTTTTCACGTACAGTGGTACCTCGGGTTAAGTACTTAATTCGTTCTGGAGGTCCGTTCTTAACCTGAAACTGTTCTTAACCTGAAGCACCACTTTAGCTAATGGGGCCTCCCGCTGCCACCACACCGCCAGAGCATGATTTCTGTTCTCATCCTGAAGCAAAGTTCTTAACCCGAGGTACTATTTCTGGGTTAAAAGAGTCTGTAACCTGAAGCGTATGTAACCCGAGGTACCACTGTATAACACACCCCCATGTATAAGATGCTCCCTATTTGGGGGGACTCAATTTTAAGAAAAGTGGGGGGAGTATTCCCCATAGTTGTTGAGCTTTTTTGGGGGAGAGTGGCCCTATCCTCTGTCGGTGTGGTGTGGTGATTAAGAGCAGTAGACTCGTAATCTGGTGAACCGGGTTCGCTTCCCTGCTCCTCCACATGCAGCTGCTGGGTGACCTTGGGCTAGTCACACTTCTCTGAAGTCTCTCAGCCTCACTCACCTCACAGAGTGTTTGTTGTGGGAGAGGAGGGGAAAGGAGATGGTTAGCCGCTTTGAGACTCCTTCGGGTAGTGCTAAAGCGGGATATCAAATCCAAACTCCTCCTCCTCTTCTTCTTCTTCTTCTTCTTCTTCTTCTTCTTCTTCTTCTTCTTCTGTCCCATCACCAAAAAGACCCCCAGCAAATCGCCCACCCAATTGCTGCAACGGCAGCCAATCATCACCAAAACTTGCCGTAGCTACCTATGACAATCTACGACTCGCGGCATTGTCGTCCCCACAATGATGTATAAGACGATCCCAAATTTTTAACATGATTTTTGAAGAAGAAAAAATAGTCTTATACACTAAGGTTACCAGACGTCCCCGTTTCCCGGGGACAGTCCCCGGATTTACAAATCAGTCCCCATACAAAATCCTATATCATTCCTATTGAAGTTGAAAAGTGTCCCCGGATTCATTGAAAAAAATCTCATAACCTTATTATACACAGAAAAGTACGGTATTTTCATCCAGGTAGTTACAAGGAGCTGAGATAGTAGCGATGCTTCTGAATACCAGTTGCTGGAAATCACAGGAGGGGAGAAGGCTCTTGTACTCTGGTTGTGCTTGAGGGCTTCTCATTGGGGGCATTGATTGGTCTCCTTGAGAACAGGATGCTACACTAGGGCAAATGCTGCAATGCCCCATCAGATTTTGTCTGCCCTTAGCCAGCCTGCCTCCCTGCCTTTTTACTTATAACCAGCCCAGAGTGTGGCTCTGTCCCACCAACTTCCCCCTCCTTAAGTCTCAATGTTGTGCCTTGTAGATCTCAGCAGGGAGGAAGATGGGGAGAAAATTAGAGATACAGTGGTACTTCTGGTTACGTACTTAATTTGTTCCGGAGGTCCGTTCTTAACCTGAAACTATTCTTAACCTGAAGCACCACTTTAGCTAATGGGGCCTCCCACTGCCGCCGCCACGCGATTTCTGTTCTCACCCTGAAGCAAAGTTCTTAACCTGAGGTAACCTGTAGCATATGTAACCCGAGGTACCACTGTAGTTGCCTCTGCCCAATGCTGGCTCTGGCACCACCTACTGTTGGGCTCCTTGCCTTCTGCCCTACCATTCACAATGGTTACAGCAGCCACTTCTGCCACTGGGACTTGCACCTTCATGACTCTCCTCATTTGCTGCTAAGGGCTTTGTACCTGATGGAACCAGACTTCTGCGAGGCATCCCTTGTTGAATGGAGAAGAGCCTCTTTGGGACAGCTGCACAGTGTCTGCAGAGCTCTCTGTGGCGATGTCGGCATTATGGGAAGGATAAAGAGGAGCTAATCGAATCACACATCTCTTTGCATTAGCCATTTAATGGGGCTGCCAATTCCTTTTGCACCATCCAGATTCTGGATGTCCTTCACAGCGCTGCGAGGAGGCTGCTGAAAGCCAGTTGGATGCATTTCATTAGGCAATGGGCCTCATTTATTATCCCCACACTGAAAACTGCCCCTAAGTGAGATGTTAATGGACACAGGGAAATTAATAGGCAGCATGCTTTAAAAAAAGAGAAAACTTAGCTCCTTTCTCTGTACAGAACATCTCTGCATAGGGACATAGGAAGAGCCAGTGGTGCGGTAGTGGTTAGAGTGCTGGACTAGGGCCTGGGAGACCTGAGTTCAAATTCTGACTCAGTCATGAAATTCCCTGGATGACCTTGGGCCAGTCACATTCTCTCAGCCTAACCACCCCACAGGGTTGTTGTGAGGGTAAAACGGGGAGTCAGCGAAACATGGACACCCCCTTGAGCTCCTTGGAGGAAAATACGGGATAGAAATGTAAGGAATAATAAATACCCAGTCAGACCATCTTGCTCAGTATTGTCTACTCTGACTGGCAGCAGCTCTTCAGGGTCTCCAATGGGGAATCTCTCTAACCAGCCCTACCTGAAATTGCCAGAGATTGAACCTGGGGCCTTCTGCATGGGCTCAGCCACCCCTTAAGCTGCCTTTAGGGACCCCTGACCATTAGGTCCAGTCGTGACCGACTCTGGGGTTGCGGCGCTCATCTCACTTTATTGGCCAAGGGAGCCGGTGTACAGCTTCCAGGTCATGTGGCCAGCATGACCAAGCCACTTATGGCAAACCAGAGCAGCACACAGAAACGCCGTTTACCTTCCCGCTGGAGTGGTACCTATTTATCTACTTGCACTTTGACATGCTTTCAAACTGCTAGGTTGGCAGGAGCAGGGACCGAGCAACGGGAGCTCACCCCGTCGTGGGGATTTGAACCACCGATCTTCTGATCAGCAAGTCCTAGGCTCTGTGGTTTAACCCACAGCGCCACCTGTGTCCCTTAAGCTGCCTTATACGGTGTCAAAACCATTGGTCCATCTCGTTTGACACTGCCAAAGCTGTCTACACTGACAGCAGCTCTCTAGGAGTTCAGGCAAGGAGCCTCTTCAAGTTCTGCTTGGAAATGCCATCGGGGACTGAACCTGGGACCTTCTGCATGCAAAACAGACACCTTGCCGCTGAGCTATGGTCCATGAACTGCAACTGATCTCCATGCCTTCTGCCCCTCACCGACCCCAGGAGCCATGATGGCTGTGTTCTCCCCCCACTGATGGAGGCTGTATGCCTCTGAGAACCAGTTGCTGGGGAAATCTCAAGTGGGAAAGAGAGTGCTGCTTTTGCACTCAGGTCCTGCCTGAAGGCTTCCTAAAGAGACATCTTGTTGGCCATTGTGTGAATGAGATGCCGTATTAGATTGGGCCCCTTCAGCCGGATCCAGTGGGGCACTTACGTGCTTAAAGAAGCTGAAGATTTGACACTTAGCAGCAAAACCAGCCCAGGACATTTTGCAACAGGACTGTGTGAGTGCAGGGTTCTATTCTAGACCGTCCACAAATCATTCCACTTTCACAGCCATTCCGCAATGCTTCCTGAATGATAACATATTGTTGCCATCTGGAGGGGCACTCACGCAGCAAATGCAAGTCCAAAACGACAGCAGCAACCCTGAGATATTTGTGGCATGAAAAACTACAGGGTTTCTGCAGGTAGTTACAGAACTTGCACGGATGGGAAGCGAAGCAGTATGTTCACCCACAAACTTTTCCAGGCACAAACAGCATTAAGTACTGGATCATGCCAATGACCCATCTAGTCCAGCATCCGGTTCTCATAGAAGCCACTCAGATGCCTGTGTGGAAAACTGCTGGCAGGATCCGAGCACAAGAGCAAAGTCCCCTTCTGTGATTTCCAGCAACTGTAACAACAACAGCAGCAGCAGCAGCAGCAGCAGCAACAACAACAATTTATTACTTATACCCCGCCCATCTGGCCGGGCCTCCCCAGCCACTCTGGGCGGCTTCCAACAGGATATTAAAAACACAACAAAACATCAAACATTAAAAACTTCCCTAAACAGGGCTGCCATCAGATGTCTTCTAAAAGTCAGGTAGTTGTTTATTTCCTTGACATCTGATGGGAGGGCGTTCCACAGGGAGGGAGCCACTACTGAGAAGGCCCTCTGCCTGGTTCCCTGTAACCTCACTTCTTGCAGTGAGGGAACCGCCAGAAGATCCTCAGATTTGGATCTCAGTGTCCGGACAGAATGATGGGGGTGGAGATGCTCCTTCAGGTTTACTGGGCCAAGGCCGTTTAGGGCTTTAAAGGTCAGCACCAACACAATATTCAGGAGCATTGCTACTGCTGACTGTGGAGGCAGAGCATATTACAGAGGTCAGCAAACTTTTTCAGCAGGGGGCCAGTCCACTGTCCCTCAGACCGTGTGGGGGGCTAGACTATATTTTGGAAAAAAAATATGAACGAATTCCTTTGCCCCACAAATAACCCAGAGATGCATTTTAAATAAAAGCACACATTCTATTCATGTAGAAACATGCTGATTCCCAGACCGTCCACGGGCCGGACTGAGAAGGCGACTGGGCCGGATCCGGCCCCCAGGCCTTAGTTTGCCTACCCATGGAATAGCCATCCTAACTAACACCCATTAAAAGCCTTCTCCTCCACAAATTTGTCCAATCCTCTTTTAAAGCCATTGGTGGTCATCAATGCCTCCTGTGGGAGCAAGTTCCATAGTTTGTGCTGTGTGAAAAAGTTCTTTCTTTTTGGTTTTTTTTAATGATATTTATTAAAATTTCAAAAAAATACAAGAATTACACAAAAACAAAAAATAAAAATACAAAAAAAATTCAAAATACAGCAAGAAGAATAAAAAAAACCCTTATTAAGATATAACAAAGCAATGAAAAATAAAAAGAAACGAACAAAATAAAAACAGTTAAAAACACATTAATTTTCCATAGCATATCTTCCTTACACTTATTTCCCCGGACCTCCTCATACCTCCCTTTTTGTATTCCAGTTCAGTTTGTTAGTTCAGCAAATCCTTACCATTAAGCTTTTACCCATTTATAAACCTTTTTCATATCTCTTAAAGCATTACAGCTGGAAACCACTTAGTTTCTATCCAACATCCTTCTAAGATTCATTAATTTTACAATACTTCTGTAAATAGTCTTTAAATTTCTTCCAGTCTTCTTTCACCGACTCTTCTCCCTGGTCTCGGATTCTGCCAGTCATTTCTGCCAATTCCATGTAGTCAATCACCTTCATCTGCCATTCTTCCAGAGTGGGTAAATCTTGTGTCTTCCAATACTTTGCAATGAGTATTCTTGCTGCTGTTGTAGCATACATAAAAAGTTCTGTCCTTCTTCGGCACCAATTGGCCGACAATGCCCAAAAGAAAGGCCTCTGGTTTCTTCAGGAAGGTATATTTAAATACCTTTTTCAGTTCATTATATATCATTTCCCAGAAAGCCTTAATCCTTGGGCACGTCCACCAAAGGTGAAAGAATGTACCTTCAGTTTCTTTACATTTCCAGCATTTATTATCGGGCAAATGATAGATTTTTGCAAGCTTGACTGGGGTCATGTACCACCTGTATATCATTTTCATAATATTCTCTCTTAAGGCATTACATGCCGTAAACTTCATACCTGTGGTCCATAACTGTTCCCAGTCAGCCATCATTATGTTATGTCCAACATCTTGTGCCCATTTAATCATAGCAGATTTCACCGTTTCATCCGGAGTATTCCATTTCAACAGCAAGTTATACATTCTTGACAGATTCTTAGTTTTGGGTTCTAACAGTTCTGTTTCTAATTTTGACTTTTCCACCTGGAAGCCAATTTTCTTATCCAAATTATATGCCTCCATTATCTGATAGTAATGAAACCAATCTCTCACTTTGTTTTTTAGTTTCTCGAAACTCTGCAATTTCAATTTATCTCCTTGTTCCAAAATTTCCCAATATGTCGGCCATTTGGCCTCCATATTGAGCCTTTTCAGAGCTTTTGCTTCCATTGGTGACAGCCACCTTGGGGTTTTATTTTCCAATAAATCTTTATATCTTATCCAGACATTAAACAATGCTTTCCTGAGAATATGATTTTTGAATGCTTTGTGTGCTTTGACCTTATCATACCATAAATATGCATGCCATCCAAATACATTGTTAAAACTTTTTGAAAAAGTTCTTTCTTTTTGAAAGCAGGATCACTCCAAGAGCATCCTCAGCACAGACCATCCTGAACGCAGAATAAAAAGGACCTCTGGAGGGGCGCTCAGTGGAAGCCATGCTTAAAGTGGAGAATGCTAACCCCAGATGCTAACTGCTACAGGAGAGCTGCTCTCTCGCAGTAAGAGTGTATCATAACACCTTTCTCCTAACAGGATCTCACATCCTCTTCCCTTCTTAGGCCCCTGCCTCCGTGGGACTGCCTTGCTACAGATATTCTCTCCTTTCTCCGCTCCCGAGCAAAATCGGCTCCTCTTCTGCTCTCCTGGATCATCTCAGGACAAACGGCAATTGTGCATCTTGCAGGCTTCAGGGATCCCTTTTGTTGCTGCTGATGCAAAAGGTTTTTTTTCCCCCCTCTCCCCTCCCCCCCCCACCTTCCTCCCCTGCAGTGCCTTCTCTCAAGTTTGCTGTTGTCAGGCAGGATGGAAAAAAGATGGAGGGCTGCTTGGAGTCTCAAACCTGCAAGATGTCCCCAGTCAATTGGCACAGTGTCACAGGGAAGGGTTGTGCCAGGACTCCAAGATTGCATCGCTCATCCACTGAAAAAGGTGCCAGCCAGGGACAGGCAGCTCCTCTTCTTGGCTCCTGAGTCTGGTGTCTAAAGTATGTCAAGGCCTGTGAGTCTCTTGCTGAGGCTGGTGCAGCAGTGCCCCCATTCACACTGATGGACCAGCCTCCAAGGGCTAGTCACCATTGGTAATAATAATAATAATAATAATAATAATAATAATAATACAGTGGTACCTTGGGTTAAGTACTTAATTCGTTCCAGAGGTCCGTTCTTAACCTGAAACTGTTCTTAACCTGAAGCACCACTTTAGCTAATGGGGCTTCCTGCTGCTGCTGCGCCACCGGAGCACAATTTCTGTTTTCATCCTGAAGCAAAGTTCTTAACCTGAAGCACTTTTTCTGGGTTAGCGGAGTCTGTAACCTGAAGCGTATGTAACCTGAAGCGTATGTAACCTGAGGTATCACTGTAATAATAATAATAATAATAATTTATTATTTATACCCCGCCCATCTGGCTGGGTTTCCCCAGCCACTCTGGGCAGCCTCCAACCAAATATCAAAAACACAATACAGCATCAAACATTAAAAGCTTCCCTAAACAGGGCCGCCTTCAGTTGTCTTTTAAAAGTAAAATAGTTGCTTATTGCCTTGACATCTGGTGGGAGGGCATTCCACAGGGCAGGCACCACTACCGAGAAGGCCCTCTGCCTGGTTCCCTGTAACTTGGCTTCTCGCAGCGAGGGAACCGCCAGAAGTCCCTTGGAACTGGACCTCAGTGTCTGGGCTGGACAATGGGGGTGGAGGCGCTCCTTCAGGTATACAGGATGGAGGCCATTTAGGGTAAGATTCTCCTGTGAATTTGTCTAAAGCCTCCTTTTTGTCTGCCTTCCATCTGCAGCCTAAAATAGCTGAGACACTCTGCTGTGAAAAGTGACGCTGGCTTTGGACTCAGGTGCAAATTGGATTGTGTCCTGAGAGAGCTGCCGTCCGTGCCCCTGCAAATGCCAGGGCTGGAGATTCCACAAATCCATATTTCTGCAAATTGCATCAGGGGGCATTTCTCTGGGTGGAGGCTGATTGGCGTGACTTAAAACCAGCTGGGGCTACAGTAAATTGTTCTGTGTCCAGATAAGCTAATCTCCTTCTGCAAAGTCATTGGGGTGTGAATAAGCTTTTCAAATGGGATAACCAGTAAGGATTTTTAAATGGCAAACTTCCCCACTGACTCGTCCAACACTGCAATGAAATTGCAGCAACTTAAATGTGGCTACAATGATGAATCAATGAAACAACAATAATTAAGCTCAATGCAATGATTAAAATAATGGCTAAATAAAACCCAGTATTTAAAGTGTACTAAGCAGCAAAGAAACAGGAACATAGGAAGCTGCCTTATACCGAATCAGAACATTGGTCCATACAGGTCAGTATTGTCTACACTGACTGGTAGCAGCTCTCCAGGATTTTCAGGCATCTCCTAGTCCTACTGGAGATGTAAAGGATTGAACCAGGCCATTCTGCATGCACAGCAGATACTCTGCTACTGAGCTATGACCCATCTTCATATTCCCCATTATTTTCAAATGTCTGGCTAAAAGTAATAATAATAATAATAATAATAATAATAATAATCCAGTTTATCAACCCACACATTGCTATAATATGTACAATACAAATTCATTTCAAAACATAATATGACAATCCAAATAAAGAAAACTCATATTGATGAGACTAACATTACACCATTTTAAATCAATTACGAGTTAGGCAATGCCAATGGTATAAAGACATATTGATGGATATTATGTGTTTAAAATATATAAATCAGAGTCAGATGTGATCAAATGTTCCAGGGCAGTCAGGCAGAAGGGGAAAGGTTGTAGCGCAGTGGTTAGAACATCTGTTTTGCAAGCAGAAGGTCGCAGGTTCGATCCCCGGATTCTCCAGGAAGGTCTGGGAAAGACTCCGTCTTGAAACCCTGCAAGTCAGTGCAGACAGTCCTGACCTAAATGGACCAGTGGGTCTAGAATCACTATAGCAAAGAGCTGTAGCTCAGTGGTAGAGCATCTGTTTTGCATGCAGAATGCCCTGGGTTCAATCCCCAGCATCTCCAGGTGGGGCTGCGAAAGGCCTGGGGGAGATGCAGCCAGTCAGGACAGAGGCAGCTTCCTATCTCCCTATTAACAAATAATATAACCCAGAAGAATTACCGACGATTGAAGAATGGAGGATGAAGTTAATGGACTATGCAGAGCTAGATAAACTAACAGGAAGGATTCGAAACCAGCGGGACCAGAAATTCACGGAAGACTGGAGTAAATTTACGGACTATTTGAAAAGTATTTGTGAAGATCAGACAACGTTTGTAGGTTTGCAAGAAGTTTTGTGAGGAGTATTATTGGAAGTATTGCAAAAATGGAGAAGGGGAAGGACGATTTGTTAAGAGATGTAAAGGCAATATAAAGTTAAGAAATGCATAAGAAGTGGTTAAAACGGTGGATCATCAGAGGTGCTGATGGAAGTCTAAAAAGATTGTATAAGTGATATGTTTTGTGGTACATTTTATAATTTATATGTTAAAATCAATAAAAATTTTATATATATATATATAAACAAATAATATAACCCACAGCCAGTTCCTTAAAGGTGAGGGATGTGACCTTCCAGATAGAGAGGGCTGGAGGGGGGGCCATTGGCCCACCGGCCAGAGGTTCCCCCCACCTGCTCTCTGTGGTACCAAAGGTGAGTCCAGCTGAAGGTCTCACCTTGCCTTCCATATGTCATGTTAATCGTGTACCTTAATTTGAGCCCCAGCTCAGCTTTTCAGTGTAAGGACTCAGCTTTAGAAGGCAGGAAGTAAAATTAAAAATAGTGTTACTAAAAATATGCAGTGTCTTTACCGTGCCTCTCAGTAATTGTAGCCATGCCCTCCTCCCATATCAGACTGCAGACACAAGAGGAAGGCAGGGCAATTCCGTCACCTCTGCTGAAAAGCTAGCTGCTTTTGTATCTCCCCAGCTGTCACCTAACAGCAGACCTTCCTCAAGGCCTCCTGAACTGTTTCCAGCCCAGCTGGTTGCTGCAAAAAGCTGCAAATTGAAGGACCAGTGCCTGAGCTTGCTTTTCTCCTCTGCCCTCCTCATGCCTTTTTCTTTGTGTGTCAGGTCTTTTCAGTTTTAAGCCTGGGGGCAAAAGGCTATTGCTCCCAGCTGTTGGCTGGCGGGGGCTGATGGGAATTGTACAGCATAAGTAGAACATCGGGTGAGCCCTGCTGGATCAGACCAGTAGATCAACTAGTCCAGCATCTCTGTTCTCACAGCAGCCAACCAGTCATCTGCGGGAAGCCCGCAAGCATAATCTGAGCACAACAGCTACTCTCCCCCTCCTTTTGGTTTCCAGCAACCGGAGAACACCAAATTGTCTACCTGTGATATGTAGTCTGGCCAAGCTGCTGCTGAAAGCACTGCTCTGGTCACAGCATCCGGCTCAAACAGCATCTTTAAGGAGCTTCTCAGCACACAGAGCATAACTAACAAATTGTAGCACTGCAGCAAAACATCTCTCTATCCGACACACAGCCATTTTCACCCCAGGACGCTTTGCAGACCAACACAGTGCAGAAATGTCTCCTCTGACCTAGCACAACATTTCCTCCTGGGGTCTCTCTCCCTCTCCCTGCCAACCTGCCCCCCTCCCCCCCTCGCCTTCTGACCTCAGACCTGCCCACCAGCTCCTTCGCTCTTTCCTGCCTCTCACCATCCATGCAAAACCGCTCTGTGGCTTTTAACAGCCTTGGCGTCTGGAACTGCTCCTGAGGAAAGGTGATCTTAGAGGTCCATCAAGCCTCTCTTTCCTCCCGCCCCCCAGCCCTGCCACCACCCCCAGCCTCATCTGCATCTGGAGGGCTTGGGTGTTTGGGCTGCAGGGGTGGCACCCGCCCCCCCCATTGCTCTCTGCATCTCCTTCAAGAGCCAGAGTGCTGAATCATTAGCACTGAGCAGCAACAGGTGGCACCCTGGCCTTTAGGACACCCAGTTTGCTTGCAGAGACTTTAGAGGCAGGACTGGCAAGCTAACGGCTTGGGCGAGCAGCTACCTACATGAGAAGCAATTTTAGACTATCCGGACTATAAGGGGAACAGCCACAGCTCAGAGGTATAGAGCATCTGCTTAGGAGGCAGGTTCAATCCCAGGTAGTGTTGGGGAAAACTGCCTCAAGCTCCAGAAAGCCATGCTGCCAGCCAGTGTAGACAATAATGAGCTAGATGGCTCAACGGACTAGCTTGGTATAAGGCAGCTCCCTAGACTCCTATTGAATCCAGCCCTTCATTGAGAACAATTGGGACTAGGATTTTAACGTTATAAGGGGAAAGGCCGTAGCTCAGAGGCAGAGTATCTGCTTTCTGTGCAGAAAGTCCCAGGTTGAACCCAGAGTCGTGTGCACAGAAGCCTCTGACCTTTGCATGACTACTAAGATAGTCTCCCTTCCAGGCGCAGTTCAGGTTCAGCAGTGGTACAACACCGACTTCTCTCAGCCCATTGAATATAACGTAGATTCCCATGTCTGCAACTTAAGGGCAGACAGAGGAAATGGGAGATGTCGTGCAATTCTGATAACTGGATTGGAATGCAGTGACTTACGTTTGTCATCTAATTGCAGCATTTGCATCCATGGTTCCCTAACTCAAGCCTCTCAGACAAGATCAGGTTATAATCATGCATATTTATGCAAACCCCCCTCCCCCACAGGAAGGCAGCCTCATCCTTCATCTTCCATCTCTCCCTATCCTGGACAGGTTTGTCATTGAGGGAAAGGAGCACCATCTCCTGGTCCAGAGATGCAACAGCATCACATCTCTGTATCCTCAGGGCTTTTCCCTGAAGGCTCCTGCATCTGACTGGCCTGGCTTGAACCTGCTTAGCTGATGTAACCAGATCACACCTAGGCATAGTATTGCAGTAGACACATTCCAGCCTTCTCCAACCGGGTGCCCCTCCAGATGCTTCGGGCTACAGCTCCCAGCAGTCTCTGATTTGTCCTGCCAGGTTTTCGGACAAGAAACCTTGCCCTGACAGACCTGGAGATGCCAGGGATATGAACCTGGAACCTGCTGTGTTGTAGAAGCTACAGCACTGGGCTACAGCTCTTCCCCAACTCCTTCTAAACGCTGGCAGGATGTGGCTTAACTTTGGCACTGAGATCCCACAACCAGTCTTGGATGTTAACAGGGGCACAATTTTGTGGTTAAGAATGGAGGAGGTTGTCCCTAGATTCAGCCCCATCCATGTGCATTCTTTTATTTTTTCTTTATAAAAATAACTTCTAGGCCAGTCCTAAATTCCTCTCCCTCTCGCCACATTTTACTACATATTGCACGTCGATTGCAGCCGCCTTTGGATCAGGATCCTTGTAAACTTGGAACAAGGTGCTCTGATGTCGACCAGCATCCTTTGGAAAGTGCCCTTTGGAAACAGCCCTAGTGACTGTTTCTGGCTGCTGAGTGGGTAGCTTTGGGGAATAGATCTCTACTTCCTTTTTTTTGCCTGCTTGCGCTTCTTCTTTGATACATGCATCAAGCTGCACTGGGGGTGATATGACGATAAACAGAGTGGAAGTCCTTGCAGGCTTCCCCTAGGCTGGCCACTACGAGGAAAGGATGTTGGAATAGGTGTGTGGTCCAGGTGTAAAGGTAAAGGGACCCCTGACCTTTAGGTCCAGTCGTGGCTGACTCTGGGGTTGCGGCGGTCATCTCACTTTATTGGCCAAGGGAGCCGGCGTACAGCTTCCGGGTCATGTGGCCAGCATGACTAAGCCGCTTCTGGCAAACCAGAGCAGCGCACGGAAATGCCGTTTACCTTCCTGCCGGAGTGGTACCTATTTATCTACTTGCACTTTGACGTGCTTTCAAACTGCTAGGTTTACAGGAGCAGGGACAGAGCAACAGGAGCTCACCCCATCGTGGGGATTCAAACCGCCGACCTTCTGATTGGCAAGTCCTAGGCTCTGTGGTTTAACTCATGGCGCCACCCGCATCCCTATGGTCCAGGTGAGCAAACAGCAAAGTCTCTCTCTCTCGGCTTTATACACACAAACACATATGTGCAGACCACCAGTTTTTGTTCTTCATTCCAGGTGACATGCAGAATTCCTTTTGTGAAGATTGAAGGCACCATCAGAGGAACAGCAAAGCACAGTTAAACTATGGAACTCAGTCTTTCCTGATGGCCAACAATTTTGGCGGCTTTAAAAGAGGATTCGACAAAGTCATGGAGGAGAAGGAGGTTAATGGGAAGGATGATAGCAGTCAACAGATATTGAAAGGGTCTGTCATGCAGACAGGAACCACACATTGTTGGGAGGGGGCATTAAAAACTTATAGCATGGGCCTCCTCCCACACCCATGCCGTAATCCTATCTCAACTCATACAGCCTCATGAACTAAAAGTTCTCTCTGACATTACATTTTCTATGTTGCAAAGAAGCTCAGTGGCAGAGTGTCTACTCTGCATGCAGAAGCCCCCAGGCTCAACGCCCGGCATCTCCAGGTGGGCCTGGGAGATACCCCTGCCTGAAACCCCAGAGAGCCGCTGCCAGTCAGTGTTGACAATGCTGAGCTAGATGGACCAGTGTTCTGACTCAGTACAAGGCAGTCCTGTGTGTCTATTTCATTCAGTCCCTTCTTTAGAACCATAAGGACTAGAATCTTAACGTTTTTTAAAAAGGGATCATAGTCCAGATGCTGAGCATCTGCTTTGCATGTGGTAGGTGGACTAATGGTCTGACTCTTTATAAGGCACATTGCTATGCTCACATGCCTTAAAGGAAAAGCCATAAATCAGTGTTTCAATCACCAGCATCTCCAGGTGGGTCTGGGAATGCCCCCTATTTTGAAACCCTGGCTAGCCATTGCCAGTCAGTGTATACAATACAGGGCTCAGAATAAGCC